TGTGTTTTCCTTCCGAGATCAACATTTATAACTCAAAACTAACGACCCAAAATGAGCATCATCCAACTTAAGAAAGCCAGTCAGCCACAGGAGGAACAATCTGCATAATAAATCATTTGTAAATAGATGTGGATGGTGAGGATTTGAATGACTGTGGTGGTGATGTGTAGTACTGTATTACCTGGCAATGGGTCGGTTTTTCTTTGTAAAGTCTATAAGTTGGATTGCAAACGGCATGGAGCACACTGCCAGGACGTTCACCACTTTGAAGGCTGAAAACCTCACCTGGACAGATAACAAACAAACAAACAAACAAAAACAAAAAAACACACACACACACACACACACACACGTGTGAATGTATTTAGAATTTCACATTCAAGGAGAACTCTTTGTCTTTCAATCTTCGGTCTTGTGGACTATCTGTGTCGTCAAGAAAAGTCATCGGATCTAAAGCGCTGGCTTTAGGCTCAACATGGCTCTCTACCCCACTAATCTCGCTTCGTGGTACACCCCTCGGGTTGCATGAATCCTTTTAACCAAATAAGAACTCAAAGGAAATGTAGTGAGGCAGTCAGTGTTATGTGTTTATGAAAGAAGTGCTTTCAGGCCGAAGCCTCCTTGGTACAAAAGGACGCTTATTATACTAACCGTTGGGCGTATTAAGCCAAAACTAAGAGAATAAGACAGGGATTGTAAAAACATCACCCAAAATCTGCTGACACACCACATACTTTCTTATAGGCCTTTTAATTTAGTCAATATTTACGGATTATTACAATCATATTTTTACGTAAGTCTGAAATATAATGAATTATGAAAACATTTCTAAACTTTTCTCTCTCTCTAAATACTACAATGCATCTTCTTTCGCCACAAATTATGTCTAATATACTTACTTAAGAACATAAAGTGTAATTGTAACGTAAATGACAGTTCGTTTGAATTTCTATTGCCATGCAAGACTTGAACCTGAACAAGACAATCTGAAATGCAAACCTTTGACGGATATTAAAATAAGCTCTTTATCTGCATTAATATTCATTTTTCTGCCTTTAAAAGAAAAAAAAAGTTGCATCTGTTACGATGCAGTTAACCAACAGGTTTGCTCACCTTGAAACCCAGTTTCTGCAGAACGCGTGCTAACCTGCGAGCACCCCGCTTTGCGTCGTCCTCACTGAACAAAAAAGAGAACATAGCGTGAAAGTCAGAAAAACAATCATATACGCCCTGTACATGGTTTGGCATGCCAGGTACACGTAAATAGTACCTGGCAACTTTTAGAGTTCAGGGCACCAACAACCAAAGGCATCCCAGTGTTTGTTTGAGGTGGCTGATATACCAAAAAATGATAATCACTAGCTTTCATGTGTACTGCCGACATTGTCTCTGTGACAGGTAAGACAGATGGTAATGCCTCTACATTATTGGCAGTTGATATTGTGCAACATTATTACAAAGTGACTAGGCCACAAACTCCATTTGTGTGCAGTTATAGATTGTATTTCCGCACTTCGAGTCAGTTAATGGAGTTTTTTTCGTGTGCAGAGTATCTTACCTTGTTGCTCCGGTGCAGATGATTTTCCCTGAGGACCAGATTGAGGCCGTTATTTTGGGCTTACGAAGCTTCATCAGGACTTTCTGAAAAATAAAAAAGTGGTGAATTTTGAACGCTACCACCATGACCCATTTCATAAACGCATGCAAAGCTGTACAGAGTCAAAATAAAGGTGAGCTCTCCAGCAGTCTTTGGCTTCCTTACCCCTCCTTCTGGCTTATAGATGACATTGGTTCCCTCTAAGGCAATGGTGCGCAGGTTGAGGTGGCACCTGGTCCTAAAGGTTGCCACCACATTGGTGATAATGATATCAAGTGCCTCGTCATTGCTGGAATCCATGAGGAAGTGTGCGGTGCAGCAAGAGGACCACAGGAGCTTTCTCCTCACACATTTATCATCGACGCCACCATCATCTTTTCACGGACGGACAGGGAGACAAGTTGAGCTGGAAGGGACAAAAGGCCCAGGATCAATATGTTTCACACACATTTACAAATGCTACCATGCAATGCAATGTCCCTTAGCCTTTTCTTGATCTATTATTTTCATATATAGACTTGTTTTTTTTTTATTGTTTTCATGAGACAATTAACTAACACACACAGGTATGAGTGAATGTTGTGGAAGAGGGCTTAACTTGTCACCTTAGTTCCAGCACCAATTCATCCGATTCCCCAGCTATGTGGTGCCCAGACACTCGAAACACGAATCACACAGACATCTGCAACACATCAGAGGAGTCATTTAAACATTTGTTATGTACTTCTACGCTATTTGTGCCATGTATTAACGTTAGCTTGCCCGCTGGTGATACAACCCCATGCGTTACCTAGCGCTTTGTAGCTAGCTAGTATTACCAAGCAAGATAAAGGAAAATTATAAGTCAAAACATGACGTTAAATATGTTAATATTTAAGGTTTAGCTCGTCGTAGTTTTGTCTAGGATGTGAGGTGTATTGCAGCTGAATCATCGCTTTTATCACAGTGTTGCATTATATAGTAAGGCAACTGATGAAGCTTGTTTAGGGAATTGATGCTAAACTAGCAACTCTTGCTAGCCTAACAAACCGGCTGTCAACTAACAACCGCTAACTAATTCAGCATCACAACGTGGACTAACGTGAAACATGACGATCTCACTGAAATAAACGACTGAACATAAAGAGTAACGACACCCCACTACTGCCCCGGTGAATACAGATATCAGTTAGCTAGCAACAAAGAAAGTGCACAAGCATTAACGTTGATGAATGAAAAGTTGTTAGCTAAGCTAGCTAGCAGGCTAGCTGTCTAACGTTACACTGGAGACGAGGTATTTCCACTGTTTCCAGGTGGGTTTGCGTGTAAATGGCAAATGTGTGTATGTTGAATGTTTGCTTGAATTCTTAAGCTACCTCATCAGCTATCTCAGTGCTGTAACCCCGAGACATAAACAGCCCAGCCAACGGTAAAAAAAAAAAAAAATTCCCGACGGACCCCTTTCATCCGTGGACTGCAAAGCAAACCCCTTTCCGGTTTTCGGCTTTCAAAATAAAATCAGGTGACCTAGTGAACGTCAAAATAATTCACTTCCGGTAACAAATTTCAAAAATAAAACAATAGTAGCCCATCAGTTTTACAAGAGCCTATCGCTGCATGCATGCATGCCACTTTTTTAATTGCTAAACAGAAAGTTTAAAGTTCGTTGGAGGTACCTTTACAGATGCATTTTAGACTAAAGCCATGCCTTCCTGCAGAACATGATCAATGTTGGATTGTTTTCCTCCCTTAAAAAAGGGAAGCGGAAATGCATTTATATTTGTGAATGTAATCCCTTACAATATCAAATAGGGTAACAAATCTTTTCACCAGGAGATATTTCATTAACTGATAAATAGTTATGCTTGCACATAGACTTGAACAGTAACCGCTGCCAGTAAATTGGTTTAAAGTTGGTATTTTGCGCCACCATGTGGACAATGAGGGTTGTCTTGGTGGAAAGAACATTATTTTGACATCATTTGTGGTAAGAAAAGCTCACATTTTCTACACGCAGAAAGAGCTTTTTAATAATGTTTTTTGAAAACTGATGAACTGGTGAATTAACTTTGACTCAGTAAAAGTAATTTGTCCAACAAAGGGTTAAAGTGCTTGTTGGCTGTGGCCAAATTCTGTGGCCACAAAATTGCCTTTGTGATCATCCAAGTCTGCCAATATTACACTTAACAAGCTTATGTTAACACCATTTCCAGATAACAATACGTAACTTTTTTTCCCGTGTTTATGGCGTATTGACATTTAAACTATGTGGATTAGTACATCTCTGAGGAAAGTGAGCACATCTGGTCAGTAAATACTCCTCAGGGAATTCTGGACAGACTACAAAAGAGGAGAAGGAGTAAAGTTTGGAGGCAGTTGGGAATGTTTGTGTTATCAATGAGAGAGTTCACAGCCGCTCCCGTGGCTCATGAATGAATTTAGTGAATGGATGCTGTCCTGAGGTGTCTGCTCACTGTCACATCATACAGTGATCGTGCATTTTAGGCAAACTGATCATGACTTCATGAGGTTTTGCGTTGATTACACTTTTCCTTGAGCTCATTTCACTCTACTTTATGTATAACACTGCATGAAGGTCAATCTGATAAGAATAACGCATAATCCTTGTGAAATAAAGTTGCTTAAACTAAACACAGATTTAAATGTGTGCGTCTTAAGTGTGCATTCAATGTGTGCACATTCGTATGTGTTTGTTTTCAAGTGTTAATATCCATGACTTATTGTTTGCTTATGCACATTGCCTCCTGTAACCCAGCTCTTCTGCTAAGACCACTGCAAACACTTCTCTCTCCTGGCCTGCGCCCAAACAAAACAGAAAAATAACTTCTTTATGATTCAGCTTTGTTGTTATTGTTCTTCCTCCCTGGTTACCAAATTGTCTCTTTTCCCTCCCATTGAATCCTCCTGGGCTTCTCCTGGTGAAATATAGCCTTGCAATTGATGTCCAGTCTGCGCACGACCCTTGTTCAGATGTCCCAAGATGTTTACTATAAAGGTTTAGATTTAGATCAGGTTAGGAAAGTCAGACCACTAGCAATGATGGTGTGCGTGTGTTTGTGTGTGTTGTAAGGCGGCTGACGCAGGGCGCAGGAGTATGTTTACAGTTTGTTGGACTGCACATCACTTGGGCAGCTTATTCCCAGGGGAACAATGCTCTTACTCTCATTAGGTCATAAGATGCGGCATGTAAACACACAGATGTGAGCACTTATGGCTTAATAGATGCAGATATGTCTAAGAATAAATAGACGGTCTTTCACTGTAACTACTCTGTGTGTGCGTGTGTCAAAGAGAGAGTGACTGAGGGAAAGTGAGAGATAAATAATTTTTCCATGCTTCTGGGAAATATATTTGTGTTTGTGTGCTTGCATGTGTGCGCATGTATATGCAAGTGTAAGAATAGTTTTGATCTGAATTGTGGTTGACGGGCTATTGGCTATCTTGAAAGTTTTAACCTTATATGACAGATGACACAGAAATAATGAATGAAGTCAAATGTTTGCTTTGAGGAGGAACCATATTATCAACCTATGGGTGAATCAAGGCCACATTTCCATTTATCTCTAGGCCCCAAAAGGTGTGTTTTCTTCTGAACGTCTGGATGATCTGGATAGTTATTTTTATGACGAAAAGCTGAAAGGGTCACGCAATCTTCTCCAAACTCCCAAAGAAACATACTAAAACAAGGCTGTTTTGTGTCTTCAGCTTTCCAAAAACACAATGCCATTTCTTTTAAAAAACTTGACTCGTCCATGTCAGCAGATGCGTCTTTGCAGAGATGTTCTGCAGGGGTGACCTCACTGTTGCCTGTAAACTGGGCGTGTTTGTCAGGACCCCAGTGTTCTGTTTATGTTGGGCGTACATCACAAGCCCATTTCAAAAGGACTTAGACAGCGAAGTTAAACCTTTTGAGAGGCTTTTTGGTAGTGTTGTAAAACTAACTTCAATACTGGTTTGATGGCTTTGTGGGAATTCTCTGTCACATTGCTAAATCCTTACAGATTTGAGTTTCTACAGCAGGGGTTGAAAAGAATGCAGACATTAACAAGTCAGGTGGGAACCAGCGACAGGGATAGAAATGACGAAAACTAAAAGCACAGTGAAAGGGCTCTAGACAGTAACAGTAAGCGGGAGGAGATAAGACGGTGACAATACGCGCCTTCAATATGCATGGCTGCATTTCTGCATAGATGCATGTATACTGTTTCTGCATGCCCACATGCTACATGTGTTTACTTATGAGTGAGTGTTTCTGTATGAGACAGAGATGGATAGTGTGTGAGTGGGCTGTGTGGAGGGAATCCAGTGCTCTGGTAGTGCTGCTCTAGGGTCTCCCAGTGTAAACAGAGACGTGGGAACGACCAAGCCTGTTTATATCAGCTCCTATTCTTACTGGGACCAGTCAGCCAGGCATCATGGGGCACAGCCAACACACCGGCATATAAAGTTGCATGTTTTACATGCAGCATCCTAAAATCCAAGACTTAATTCAGATTTAGAATCTGAGGAAATTACTTATTCATCATAAGCAGGGATGTAAGCCCACTCACTCAGTGTGCACATCGTAATAATCATAGTAAATTCACAATATTTAATGTAGGCAGACGTCTCAAATACCATGAATTGTTTTATGGAAAATGAACACAAATCTGTATCTTTCTCTAAAACCAGTGGAATTTCGATAATACACGTTGTCTTTGGAAAAAAAGTACATTGATTTACCCAGGATTTAATTTGCAATCACAGGACTTAATCCTATCCTCAGACACAAAATATCCCAACATCTTTTTTTATACTGTTAAAGTCAGATCATCTAAAGTATGCCCCAATGAGTCAGCAGAACCCGCACTCTCTATCTACTCGCTCACCTGAATGTTGAGGAGTCTAACATATAGGCCCAAAAAATGACATTCAACCAAACAAAAAGGAGTTTCTTCAAAGAAGTGAAATCCCCTCAGCCTCCCATTAGCTCCAGAGACGAGGCCGAGCTCAGACAGAGAGACAATCACTCCAACGCTCATCATGCCAGATTTACTGAGCTAATATTAACAGCACCTGCATAAATGTTATGGAGTTCCCTGCAAAGCTGTGTTTAGACTAGTTTTGGAAATGATGACACTGGCATGAACATTATCTGGTGCGATCCAGTCCGCAGAGAAAGCACCTCCTTTTTTTCAGGAAGACATGAAGGGAAATTATGCACAGGAAGCTGGGTCGGGATGAAATCAAAGTTTCTCATTTATTTCTCAAATGAAACACGAAAAATGGCAATTTTTTCAATGTTTATATGCAAACTGTATGTTTTTAGTATACCATCAATTTCAATAAGAAAACACATACAAAAGGTATAAACCTTGTCTAGGGTGGGCAGATATGCTATACACTTAATGAGAAAACCCTCTGAAATCAGTGTAATTTCTTGTAATTTATGGACACATGTGAAGCCATCTTTTCTTCTAAAAAATGGATTTGGTCAATGATGAAAAACTGCATAAAACCAGTGCTTTTGGAAATATGTGGAAAATCGTGATGGCAAAACCTCTTTCCGTGGCTCCTTACTGACCCATGACCAAACAACACATTTCTGCTGCAGAAACTGGGGCCCACTGGTCATTTTGTCAGCACTTCGGACAGACAGACACACAGCCAGTGTTTGGATAGAGAAGGAGTTGCTGTATAAGCTTTGTGGAGTGGATTCTTCCTCTCTCTACATTACCGAGTAATACGAAAACAAACTGCTGTAAGAGAGTGGAGGAGTCCGTCTGAACAGCACCCAACAATCACAAAGGAAAACCACACATGCATTAGCTTGGGAGGGGGGGGGGGCTCCCCTCAATTACACACCTGGTTGCCTTCTGAGATAGTGTATGTGTGTGTGTTTGCAATCAGGAGTGAAATGCATCATTGTCACCGTGTGTCTTAATATATACTATGTTAATGTACGTCGGAGAAGAGGGTGGGTGCCAAAAGTGGCTTGTATCTCCATGTGTATGTATGTAAAGAGTCTCCTAGACTTTGTGCTGGTAAAGGTCTGCATTTTGGTGGAATAGGGGGGTGAGAGGTGTTGACATAGAAGGATGTTTTGGGGGTGGCGTTTGGGGAACGAGTCAGGATGAAGGTGCAGAATGATGATAGGAAGGACGGATATGTGATAAGGGTTTGTTGTGTTTTAGCAGCTAAGAGTTTTGGGAGTTCAGTTTTGCACCGTGTGTGATGTTGTTGCATGTTTGCCGACATGCACACACTCTAATTGATCTGCTTTTGCTCATACTTGTGTTTGTGTGTGATAAAACAAAGCAACAAAGATCTCCCACTCCTATGCAACAACATGCACGCACAAGCGCATGCACACACACACACACACACACACAGCGATATCTAAATTAATGGTCTCCTTGGGGAGTCATCCAAAGGCCATGGGCGTTTGGGAGAAAAGATTCTTGGAAAAAGGCTTCATCA